TCGGGATTAAAATTGGTGACTTGGGACACCCTAAATCTCTCAAGTGGCGACTCTGAAATAAATAAACAAATCCCGTTTCGATTGTCCTTTAATTGGAAAAAACTCCCTTGTACCCTCCCGGGTACGGAAAAAGGAGGTGTGACAACCCCCTCACGAGATCGATGTGTTCTAGGCATCTCTTCGGTAGAAAAAGTGTTAAAATAATAGAGAAAGCTATGAACGAAGAATGGGAGAAGAAGCAGAAAAATCGTTGAAGCAAACACGGGAGGGATGAGAAAGAATAACCAGAGACGAAATGGCCAAGAGTTTTTGAAAAAACAAACCCTCCACCTATTTATAGGATTGGGTGGCGCTATAATCGAAGTGGAAGGCTGCAGAATGGCACCGAAATCGAACGACAAGCCCTCAACCCCTGTCTCGAAAACACGCATAATGATGACGCACGTGGAAATGACGTTATTTCCCGATAAGATACACCATCCAGGGTCTTGTTAAGCATGTTAACCTCCCATTGTTGGCCAAGCCATAACGCCTCATGAAACCAAATTTTTCTACAAGAGTGGGTGGTGTCCGCTTATCAAGGATGCACCAAGTTGCAACCTCGACAAGCGGAGGGATGGGTCCAAATTTGGATGACCACGGCTATTGACGAATATGACAAAAGACGAGGTCTTCATAGCTCGACGTCCTGTGGAGGACGATAGATAGTGAATAGAGGACGTAAGACTTTTACAGTAGTGTAGGCCCAACAGGGGGCACTAGGAATATACTTTCGAATATTCTCTATGATATGTCTTTGAGGGTTCAGGAGGGGGTTGTCCCTTATATATAGCGGGAAAAAAACCTTGTTAGGGGGACTTTTTGGCTCTTTTGGCTGAGAACACTGATTGTAATACCTTTCTACGTAAAAGATTGGCATTCTCAACGTTCTATCACTCATTTTTGCAAGATCAAAAAATATTATCCATTGTGTTCATCTTTTATACCTTTTGTTCTAGAGTTTATTATACTTAACTAAAATTTACCTCTTCATTCTCTTTAATTGATTTATTCAAAAAGGTTCCAACATCTTTTGAGTCAAACAAAAAGGTAGATGAAATTTGGGGGAGATAAGCATTAAATTAAATGATACCCATTCTAATGTATGAATCCTTGAAAATTGTATCTACACATCAAGTTGTGTTTGCTGTTAATAGTAGTTGTTGATTTTGGTTGAGCTTCATATATTTTGTAGGAGTGGTGTCCATTTTGAAAGACTGATATACCTTTCAAAAGGTGGTGGCCATTATTTAGAAGCGGAGACATGATTTAAGTTAGGCAACATGGCCTAGTGGCCACTTAAACTTGCACCAGTTTGCAAACCAGATACATAAATTTTCGTTTTTTTATTTGAATACTCCAATTTGACGGAATGAGTACTAATAGTGTGTATATCAATTGCGCTAATATATACAACACGTCATATGCTGGACTATTTATTACTTGACATGTGTTTTTTGTGGATCCCGTTTCTAAATACAAAATCAGTAAAAAAGAAGTTACAAATGCAAAAAAGAAAGGCAAAATACCTTAAACCACCCCTAAACTTGGCTCAGATTATTAGTATCCTCCCCGAACTATACCCGGTCTTAATTATCCCCCTCAACTTGACCTTTTGAGAATCATTACCTCCTAGACGCTGATATGGCAAAAAGTGTGGGTGCACTCGCCTGCTACGTGGATTTTTCTGTATATGTGATATTTTTTTGAAAAATAAAATATATTTTTACCTTTTTAAGAATATTGTTTTATTAGATAATTTTTTTTTCGAATATAATTTATAATAAAACTTGGATAGAACTATATTATTTAGGCTAATATTTTTATTTGGCCAAAAATAATAAAGTTTTAGTTAATATTTTTTGGAATTTGACCTGAAAATAAAAATTTATACAATTGAAATAAATAGTCAAGGCATCTAAAAAGTTATAAAAGATACATAGTTTGAAATTAATTATTTTGGTTATAATTTTTTATATAGCTCTAAATTACGGTGCTCTAAATATATATATATATTATAAATTTTACCTAAAAAAGTAAAAATACATAGTTGAAATAAATAGTCAATGCATCAAAAGAAGAAATAAAAAGAGTGTACAATTTCAAGAAATAAAACGAATCACTTGCATTTTACAGCAATTGTACACTCTTTTTTTTTTCTTCTTTTGATGCAATGACTATTTATTTCAACTGTGTATTTTTACATTTTTAGGTAAAATATGTAAAAAAAATATTTTTAGAGCACTGTAATTTAGAGCTATATAAAAAATTATAGCCAAAATAATTAATTTCAAACTATGTATTTTTTATAATTTTTTTAGATGACTTGACTATTTATTTCAACTGTGTATTTTTACATTTTTAGGTAAAATATGTAAAAAAAATATTTTTAGAGCACTGTAATTTAGAGCTATATAAAAAATTATAGCCAAAATAATTAATTTCAAACTATGTATTTTTTATAATTTTTTTAGATGACTTGACTATTTATTTCAATTGTATAAATCTTTATTTTCCGGTCAAATTCAAAAAAGATTTAACTACAACTTTATTACTTTTGGCAGAATAAAAATATTTAACCTAAATAATGTAGTTCTATCCAAGTTTTATTATAAACTATATTCGAAAAAAAATCTTAAAAAGTAATATTCTTAAAAAGGTAAAAATATATTTTATTTTTCAAAAAAAAAAAATGTCACATTACAGAAAAATTCACGTGGCAGGTGAGTGCACCCATGCTTTTTGTCACATCAGTATCTAGGGGTAATGTCTCTCAAAAGGCGAAGTTGAGGGGGATAATTAAGACCGGGCATAGTTCGGAGAGGATACTAATAATTTGAGCCAAGTTTAGGGGTGATTTAGGACTCATTTGTTTTTTTTAAGATTAAGACATCTGAATCTGAATACACATCTGAATATCAAGATGTGTATTAAGATTAACACATCTGAATCTGAATATCTGAATATATTAAGATGTGTATTAAGATTTGAATAGAAATAACTAAGACTCTTTGATTTTTAACACCTGAATGTATAAAATTTATCTTTATTTGAAAATTAATAAACATAAAATTCAAATGAAATACTAACTAATCTAATATTGTGTCAATAAAATATATAGTTTTTTAAAATACGATAGATGTTGGTGGTGATGGCTAACTGGTGAATGCTGACTAGAGACGGTTGTTGGTGGTAGTTTTGGTTGATGATGGTGGTTCATGCTAGTAGCTAGTAGTGATTGGTAGTTGTGGCGATTATGATTGAGGATGGTGGTAGTGGGTGGTGATAGTTAATAATGACGGGTGATAGTAGTAGTTGTGACTGAGGAAGGTGGTGGGTGGATGGTGGTAGGTTATAATGATGGGCAATGCCGGCTGTGGTTGTTGATAGTGATGAGGTGATTAGTTGTGGTAGTTGAAGTGGATGAGTGTTGATTGTGGGTAAGAATGATATATGATAGTCGGAATGGTGAGGATAGTGGGTGGTGATGGTCGATAATGGTGGCGACTATGATTGAGGATGATGGTGGTGGTTGAGTATGGTGGTGGTGGTGGCATGGTGGTAGTTGATAATGGTAGGCGGTGGCGACAGTTAATAATGAATATGTAATAGCATCTTAATGAATTTAAGTCTCTATTATAAATCTTAATCATACAGACCTATTCAGACCCAATAAGTGGTTGTGAAGTAAAAAAAAAATATACTTAATGATTAAGATCTAAATAATTAAGATTTAGACTTTAAAAACAAACGGACTTAATATCTGAGATCTAAATGATTAAGATTCAGACCTCCATTAAGTGCAAACAAATGAGTCCTTAAAGTATTTTGCCAAAAAGAAATAAACCTACTACTTTTGTTATAATGAGTTATATGGTCAAATCCATGAACTCATTATTTTTTTAAAATTAAACCTACTATTTATTATAATTTTAATGAATTTTTACGCATAAAATTATTTCAGCGTTGAAAATGGTGAATTCAGTTGGACCCGACGATGCAGCTCTTTATAAGCCCCTGCCCACTGGCGGCTAATGAAGGAGAAACCAATAAAAAAACGAAAAAGGAAAAAGGTGGCGGCCAGGCAGTAAGCAAAAGATATTGTTCTTTTTTTTTCATGATGAAGGATTTAGTCATATATAGTGCAAACAAATACAGCGCTATGTACATGCATGGTACTATCCGACATTGTTGAAGTCGAAATTTCGCTTTTATTTTCTATTGGCAGAAAAACATGGAGCAATTTACAATATCAGTCAAATGGAAATGCACAAGAAAAAGAAAACACGCATCTATCCATGATTATAAACGACTGGTTGAAGCTGGAGGAACGAATTGTGGGGTCCTCGTTGATGACGTGACTAATATCAACTACGTACTGTACTTTATTAGTAAAGTAATTAAACAGAGCTAGTTTGATGACCCGCCACCTCCACTTCCAACCAAGAGGTTGTGAGTTCGAGTCTCCCCAAGAGCAAAGTGGAAAGTTCTTGGAGGGAAGGATGCCGGGGGTCTATTTGGAAACAGCTTCTCTACCTCAGGGTAGGGGTAAGGTCTGCGTACACATTACCCTCCCCAAACCCCACTAAGTGGAATTATACTGGGTTGTTGTTGTTGTTGTTGTTGTAGTTTTGATGACCCGCCATGTCATCATGCCACATAGGCGCCATTTGACATATATTAATGCCATGTGGAAGCTTATATAAGAAGAAGACTAGCATTTGTGAGAAGATTCTAGAGAGGTATGAACATTTTGCTAGGAAGAACCTAGATCCTTATGGATTTGCTAATAAAGTCCTTGGAATCTTCTAGGCTTGTAGAGAATTTTAGAGAAAGCCCTTATCTTGTAAATATTAAGGACTTGTATAATAATTAATATTTACATACTAGTCCCTAGGAGACTAGTATATAAAGAGAGTCATTCATTTGTAATTCATTAACCAAGCAAAACAATCAAATTTTCTCTAATACAAAAGCTTCCTTTGGCAATTCTCCTTAGCGATCTTGAGTGTAGTAAGACTGAGCGATCTTGAGTATAGTAAGACTGACTTGTGTACTTAGTTTAAGATTAAGGACGTGACACCATAGAAGCAAAATCGAGCACAACTATATATTTGCTTCATGTGTTAGTTGTCTGCTTCCGATTCTAAGGCCAATAATAAAGAAGCTTAACTCAAATTCACTATTTATCATTTAATTTCTCATATATACCTGATATAGCAATTCTATTGCTAAATTCAGCACTATCGCACCGCCATCGTCAGCTCCAATAAGTGGTGCCAAAAGCTCATTAGTAACATACACGTATGCGTAATGCATGCGGCGTTGTGCATTTATTTCATCTCTTCAACAGCTTCCCTTATTTGTCTCGTTTCAGAAACTACAGTCGTTTACTTGCACCTCCTTTCCACTTGTCGTATATATATCGTTCGAGTCTCCCCTAGAGCAAGGTGGGAAGTTCTTGGAGGGAATGCCGGGATCTATTTGGAAACAGTCTCTCTACCCTAGGGTAGGGTAAGGTCTGCGTAAACACTAACCTCCCCAGACCCCACTAAGTAGGATTATACTGGGTTGTTGTTGTATATATATTGTTTCTTCTATCCCTCTGCCGCTACCTAAATTTAACACTGAAAGAAAGGGAAAGAGGACAGTTGATGTTTTTGATTCACGAAATTTGACAAAGAACCTCGAGGTTGCTTTTCAAAATTGAATATTTTTTCTTTGGGTTTAGTTGTGTCTATTAAAATTTGCCTAATTATACCACCCATTCAGCACTAATTGGTTTCTTTTATCTTATAACTATGAAAAGGCGGCGACTTTACTGTTTCATTGCATTGGCTTTTTTATTTTTCTTTTCATTTTCACATGTGCCGTGTTAACTTTTGCTTTTTGTCCTGTTTTTTTAAATCATCCTCACAAGTGCGATCTTTTGCCTTTTTCTGTTGGTGTATGTTAATAGAATTGAGGTTCAATTGAAATACTCTGCCCGTAATTTCACAATTATCGACAAGGATGGGGCTTTTGGATCTCTTCATCGCTGCATCAATGCCGGTCCTTAAAGTGCTTTTGATTACGGCACTTGGATTAGTACTTGCTCTGGATCGTATCGATTTACTGGGAGAAGATGCAAGAAAGCATTTGAATAATGTGAGCTTAAATTTTCTTTGCCTTTCGCTATTCATCAATTTTTACTAAATGAGCGGTTAATTGCATTGGATAATAAGGAAAAAATATGTGGTAACCGTACGTGGTGTTTTAAAGTAGTTAATTCCATTGGATAATTTTAGTACAAGCTGCAGTATTATTGACACAATCTGCATGTGGCTGCGCCTTTGTTCTTTTTTGAAGGATAAACACCTATGTCATTTGTTTTTAACTTAATTTACTCCCTTTTCATAAATCTTTGGTCTTGCATCTACATTTTTTTGGTTAACCATGCATATCATCCGAGGGTTTTGGTTATTTCTTGCTGGTTTCTATATTTTAATTAGCTGAAACTGCAGCTGATTAATAACTGAATGTTGTTGGTGATATCTTCATGTTAACTTTTGATAACTTATTGCACATCACGTAGATAGAGTCTGATTTTTTGGATTTAAGTGAAGCTACAATGCTTTTGTGTGGGCTGAGATTCTGGTGAATTAGCACAACCTAGACTAATAGAATTTGCATGTTGATGAGGATTCCAAGGAATTTGATTAGGAGAGTATCTGAATAATTTTTGATCGAAAAAATTCATTGAAGTTACAAGATCTGGAGTCTGCAGTTTTTAACTTACAGAACAATAATTTGAAGAGTTCCAGAAGTAGTTTTAACTTTTTAGTGTACTCGGACACGATGAATACTTCTAAGAAAAAGCACTGTGTAGTTTCATATAGTCACTTGACAAGCAAAAAAAGGGGGACAACTATAGCTTTTGTACAGAGGTTCCAAATGTTCTTACTGATTGCACCAACTACATCGATATCTGCAAGTTCATAGGTAGAAGTGGGTCTTGTGTTATTTGTTCATTGTGTCAAGTCATAGACTATCTAAACTACCATTTACCTTTTCTCAATCGACTCCCCTGTCTAAGTGAAACCTTAGCCCAGACGGTAAGTGTCTTCTATTACTTTTTCTTTTTGTTAAAGAGCTAGCATTCATATGGTGTGCTAATTTGTTTTGTAATGCTGATGCACCTCCTGCAAGCAGATCGTCTTTTTTGTATTCAATCCAGCCCTTGTCTCCAGCAACTTAGCCAAAACGATCACATCTGAAAGCATGAAAAAATTGTGAGTTCTCATGTCCATTTAATTCACTTAACACTCTGTGCTTCAAAAAGTCTCTCCTATTCACGCTGTCACAATTGTAGGTGGTTCATGCCTATCAATATTCTCTTCACCTTTATTATTGGTTCAATTCTTGGTTGGGCAGTCATTCAAATTACAAGGCCTCCTCAACATCTACGTGGACTGGTTGTTGGCTGTTGTGCTGCAGGTATGTAGACCAGCAAGAACCTCAGTGATGAAGATAACTGTACATATCCTGCTAAAATAAAATCTTGAGATCTCAAATCCATTCAAAGTTAAGAAAATCTCTTTTGTACCGTATCAACTCAATTGATATCAATTTCCTCATCAAGGTTAAAGTAAATATACAACATAGTATGACTAGCCTAATGATAATGCCACTCTGCAATTCAGATAGGAATAAGTCTCTTGATATTTTATATGAATTGCTCTGTTTAAAAGGTGTGTTGGTTGGAGAGTTTGCTTCGGAAGTGATACCATTTTACTTTTTTAAGTAGAGAAAGGAATTGGAGATCATTCAAATTTCACCAGAGAGATGTTGGTGATGGAAGGCCAAGCATACCGATTATGTTTCGCATACCTGTAGAATCAACGTGATAGGCAAATAACTTTACCTCAGATCGAGACAGTAGGTAGATTATAGATGTCCCTGGTTCCTGTGCAATATATAATGTAGGTAGATTTTTTCTTTAGGCAAAAGTAAATTTTAAGTCCTGGTGAAATGAGAAATATTCAACAAATGGAAGTTACTCTGTATGTTTAAAAAAATGTTCCTGGTCACTGTGTTGATCTATCGGTGCATTTCAATGCTTTCTTCTGGTCAGATCATATTATTGAGTATTCAACGAAAAGGAAACGGCCATTGAGGTCTTGGAAATGTTGTTAATGGATTTTATAGGACATTCATAAGAACCTTCGAGTATCCCAGAACTAAAATAGAGCCAAAGGAAGAAATCAACTAGATTATTCCAAGTAACAAGTAATTCATGCAGAAATAGGATGATTAAAAGATGCAGCAGAGCTCTCTTGTACGATGAGTAGTATCCAAGTTATCTAAAATAATGATTTTTCCTTTGCACGGACAGGAAACTTGGGTAACATGCTTCTCATTATCATTCCAGCTGTTTGTAAAGAGAAGGGGAGCCCTTTTGGGGATCCTGGTATTTGTCACACATATGGAATGGGCTATGCTTCGCTTTCGATGGCGGTAAGTGTCTCTTAACTACTTTAGTTGTTTCACAAGGATTTTATTGCATGATTTGAAGGGTATCCCAACATTAAAATGACGACCATAATGCTTGTATAAACATGAATTCTCTTTTTGGCTGCAAGGAAAATCTAATGCTTTCCCGGTGACTGTTCTTTTTCAGGTAGGGGCGATTTACCTATGGTCTTATGTTTATAATATCGTGAGAATATCGTCAAGTAAGAGCTCAAAGGAAGTTGAGATTAACGATTCCTCCGCCAGTAGATCTCCGAGAGAAAGCTCTATATCACAACTTGGGACATCAACAGAATCACTACTTCCATCGAAGGCCTTCAATGGATCCGAGTCCCCACCTGAACAGCTTGAGCTTCCTTCCACTAGATTTGATCACAAAACTCAGGTTAATTATTGATCCACATTTCAATCTAGGATACTCCAAGCTATACAACTATTAAAGTCCTTTAACACTCCTTCTCCCCACCCTGCAGACATAGGAAAAAACTACTCCCTCCGTACCAATTTATGTGATGATGTTTGACTGGGCACGAAGTTGTGCCCAAGTTTAAGAAAGAAAAAAATACTTTTGGAACTTGTGATCTAAAATAAGCATATTTGTGTGGCTATGGATCATCTCATTAATTGTAAAATTGGAAGTTTAAAGTTAGATTGTTTCCATAATCGAAATGTTTCATTCTTTCTGGGACAAACTAAAAAAGAAGTACCATCACATAAATTGGGATGGAGGGGAGTAATTAGCAAGTGAGAGAAAAGATGTTACATAGGAAAACTGAGCTGATGCATATGGATAACATGAAAGAGAGGCCCTCTAGGACTGGTAAATGGAGATGGTGAAATAGGCTTAACCTTATAGCCAGAAGTTGTTGTGAAGGAGTCATCACATGAACTTTATGCAACATAAACATTCTGCGTTCTTCTGAGATTACACGGCATTTCTGCTGAGATTACGCTGTACTAGGTAACCTCGGTTTTGAGTTTTAGGTGATTCACTCTAGTCTCATGTTTGATTAGGTGTGTTCTAAGAGTGGATTCCAACTGAATTTCACTTTCACACATATCCAATCAAGATTTCACTTATTTTGTGTTGAAGTTTTCACATCAGTTAATTTGCTCGATGTTAAATTTTCACAAGACATGAAGATGCTCTCTATTTATGCACGTTTAATTTTCTTTCTCTAAGTTACTCTGCATCATAATAAACACAATCATGCATCAACTTTTACATTGGTGTTTGAATTTTTAACAGATGCAGCCTGGGACTAAATTTAAGCAGTACATGGAGATTATTTCAAGAAAGATCAACCTGAAGAGGTTATTAGCCCCTTCTACCACTGGAGCGGTACAATTTTATTGTTATTCCTTTTTCTGAACTTGTTTATATTGCACAATTCTCCTAATTCTACCTTAGCGCCTCTAATACGTTAGGCTAAAAGGAAGATATGCTGAAACTGTTTTGTCATGCAGTTTCTATTTTATCAATGACGTAAAACCTCAAACCATTTTTTAAGGAGTAATAGCAAGGCACGTCTTAAAACTGTCCCCCCTGAAAAATAGCTTTCTTAATTTTTTCTGTCTAGGAATTCTTCTTATGAGAGGTTGTATTTTATCAACCATTAATGCACTAGCACCTGGTTGTAATTTGTAGGGTGGTTTTCAATGTGTTCTAGGTTCTAAAAAACTCTAATTATGTAGCAGCATGAGCATCCATACACCTCATTGGAGTAGTTCATTGATATCATCTGTCAATAAGTGGTTCGGAAACCACAATGAGATGCATGAATTTAGGTTCTTTTCTTGGGATAAGCAGCCTACTTTATTTTAGCATTTTATAGATCTTAGCAGTCACAATATCTACTTGCTGAATAACTTTGCAAATTTGTGGGCTCACTGTCCAACTGTGCACCAGTTCACTGACAAGTGGTCAATTTTTTTTTACAGCTTGCAGGTTTTATAGTTGGACTTATACCTCAGATAAGAAAGCTGATGATTGGTGATGTAGCGCCTCTTCATGTGATCGAAGATACAGCTATTTTACTTGGGTATGACACATCTCCTAGTCTCTGTGACTAGACTACAACATTTGGTTCTTTTTTGAAAATAATGAGGAAATAAACTGCTATATCTTGGGAGTACCTGCATACGATGCAATGGCTTTAGAATGTCCTTACGCAGAGCCATATATGATATGGTTTCTAGCTGCAGATAGTAAAGTATACTGGATATGGCACAAGATCATATTTTACCGCATGGCTACATTAGATTGGAATAGTATGCAGTTGCTAGCTAATATCTAATAGTATTTGTGTCTACCAAGTTGTCAAAATGTACTGCTGCTTGGTCGCGCACTGAGTGTATAGCATCTTAGACTTGTTCAAATGATTGCAGGGATGGAGCCATCCCGCTTCTAACCCTGATCATGGGAGGTAACCTTTTGAAGGGTTTGACGGGTTCAGGAATTCAGAAATCCCTGCTGGTTGGCATTATTGGTGTCAGATATATTGCCCTGCCTCTGATTGGTATTGCTGTAGTCAAAGGAGCTATTCACTTGGGCTTGGTGCAACATGATCCTTTATATCAATTTGTTCTTCTACTTCAATTTGCACTTCCACCAGCAATGAACATTGGTATGTTAATTCAACTAGTTATACTCTGTTGAGCTCTTGTTGAAACTTTCGACTTGTTTCTTAACTTTTTTGTCTGAACACAGTTTCAGCATTAAATAGACGTCCTATCATATGATTAAGAAATTGCTAGATGGGATGACACAGTTTCTTGTTTCACTTGGCAGGCACCATAACACAGTTATTTGGAGCTGGTGAGAGCGAGTGTTCAGTAATTATGTTTTGGGCTTATGCATTGGCTTCAGTATCGCTTACTCTGTGGACTACATTCTTCATGTGGCTTGTAGCTTGACTTCATTTTTATATCAGACGTATTCAAGTTTACATGGCATGTCCAGTGTTCTATTTTGACGAAATCACAGACTCATAACAAACCAAAATTTGCAAAAACTTGAATTAAAAGTTTTAACCATGTTTTCGTAGTCATATTGTCATAATAACATCATTGGTGCGGAGAAGTGGAGAAGGCATTACAAGAATGCCTTCTCCACTTCTCCGCACCAATCAAAGAAGGGAAAAAATAGCAGGGACAGAGATTCTTAAACTTTGGAGATATTATGCAGCTAAAACATTTCAAGCAATTCGATAGCAAAATGTATCATTGCACATAATTGTGCTACATTGATCCAATTGATATAGAAAGACAAGATTTTTAGATGAAGCGTATCATACTAATTGATACTATTAAAAGATGCTTGAGGAAAGCAATAAAAGCTTGCGATGAGGAGTTAGATGGGTTTGTTGTTCTCGGCTGATGAGAATTTTGCAGTTAACAAGTTGGAACTTCAACAGATGGGGTCATGGTGCGGGACTTCAGAGAGGAGTTTTGTCCAGATCATCGAAATAGGGATGTTCCATAGCTTTCTTTGCTGAAATCCTCTTAGCTGGCTCATAATGCAACATCTCCTGCAAACACAAGTGTGCCAAACCATAAATCATGCGCTCATTCTAACAGGTTAATCAAGACAGTAAGTCCTCAAAATGTCAAACACACTTACAGATAGAAGGTGGAGCCCATCTTCATCTAGACCAGGGACAGCAGTTGAGAGTGGCTGGGGGTTCCATTGGGGGTATTCATGCCAGTTAACTAGCTTGCTCACCCCGGGCCAGAGTTCTTCATTAGGAGTACCTAGCAATCTGCAACCCAGTTATTATCAAGATTAGAATAGTGGAACAGGTGAGGAACAGTGCTCAAAGCAGGTGACTATTAGCTCCAAACCTGAAAATGTGAAGTAGTTGTTGCAGCTCAGAGTCTCCTGGGAAGAGGGCTTGTTTTGTGACCAGTTCAGCTGAGGTTAAAAGCAAACCACACTCCATGTTAGCATATTACACAACCCAAAAGGAAGAAAAGATCATTCGGAAGACAACGGATGAAAAGGAGTTTTACCAAATATACAACCAACAGACCACATGTCAACTGCTGTGGAGTAATGAGTAGCTCCAAGAAGAACCTCAGGGGCTCTATACCACAGGGTTAATATCTGCAGAAAAAGAAACATACAGGTTTAAAAAGACCATACATGAATGATGATAGCTGCTGCTACAGAATAGTAAAAATACCTCATGCGTATACTTCTTGATGGGCAGAGTATAAGCTCTGCCAAGTCCAAAATCTGCTAATTTGAGCACATTCGTCTTACGGTCCATCAGAAGATTGTGTGGTTTCAGATCCCTGCATTAACAAGTGTCCACAAATTGAATAGGTGACCAAACAAACCATGAACACTGCATTCTTATGATCGCTTGTATGAAACCAAAAGACAGCAGCAGTGATTATACCTGTGTAACACACCATGACCATGGCAGAAAGCAACTCCTTTGCACAGCTGGTACATCAAGCTCTGTTTCAAAGAGCCAGACTTATCAATTACTTGTTAAATTGCATAGTAATAAATGAGCCAGTAGCTACTACCGTTCGGACTACAAACCTTGACAGTTTTAGGGGGAATGTTTTCTCCATTTGCGCGGAAACTACGAATAAATTTCTTGACATCAGTATCCATGTACTCAAACACCAAGTATAGGACCGTCTTTCCTTCTTTGTTCTGGCCTTGTTTAACATCCATCAGTCTGATTTATATATTTATAGGACATCATATCAGAACACAAGATCCAGATATCAAACGTCAATAACAAATTACAAAACTAAAGTGAAAAGCGCAAATTAATTGAAATAGAGATGATGCCTAATCGCAGAGAAACGAATTTGCAAAAGAAATTTCAAGCGATTAAGTAAAACTAACAAACCCTAGGCAGAGAATAGAGAAATGGAGTAAGAAGAGAGAAATGCGAGTGAGGATATACATACTTGACAATGTGAGGATCCCTAGAAAGCATCCGCAGAAGAGAGATCTCGCGGAGAGTAGTAGGAGGGACACCTTCTTCGTCCTCATGAAGCCTCGTCTTCTTCAGTGCTACGATTTTGCCAGTAACCCTATCTCTCGCTCTGTACACCTTTCCGTAAGTACCTTCCCCTACCTTCTCAAGCTTCTCGAATGCCTCCATGGCCGATGCACTCTTTTTTACAGTCTCCATTTCTCTCAATCGCTCTCTGCTCTGTTTATGGTTTTTGAATTTTGTGTAAATGATTTCCTTTGACGGAGCGCCTCAATAGGCCTTTATATATTACAACATAACCGTCTTCTCGTCGCACAACGGCAGTATTTTTGAATTTCAAACGAGAGATTCACTTTCATTTCTAATTCCATTACTGCCCCTCTGTTTTTTCGAATCCCTCCTACTTTTTAGTTTTGCGAAAAGTTTTATTTTGTGTCTCATACAACTTACACTAATTGTATGAGGCTCTTTTTGTCTCACAAATTTGTGGACCCCAATCTTATACTTCTGGGTCCACAGAAATATGAGTCCACAAAACTATGAGACAAAAAAGTTGTCTCATACGCTAATATATTGGATTAGACAACCATTTTTCTCCTCTATTTTCCTTTTCGCATTTCTTCTTTTTTCTTTTTAAATTCATTTATTTTGCTGAACTAGTGATAATACACGTTAAAGGTGTCGTTTGGTATGCGTACTATATTATCCCAAGATTAAGAGCCCATTTGGATTGGCTTAAAAAATGGCTTTTAAACATAAGTGCTTAAAAGCACTTTTTGAGTGCCGGGGCTTATTTTATAAGTCCTTTATTATTTCACCAATTTAAAATAATAAAGGATTCAACAACATTTTTTTTTAAAAAATGTTATGGAACCAAAAAAGAAGTTAAAACAAAACAATGTATACAAAATATTAGAATGTATTAAACATTTACAAAGCTACAGTTGGCTTTACGTTTACAACTCAAAGAAATTGATAAAATTTTGGGGAATGGTAGCAGAAAGTTTGAAAACGGCCATTAGATGACACGGAATTTAATTAGTAAGCGAATGATAGTTTTGGGTTTAGAAAAAGTAAAAGGGATAATAAGGTAAATTACTTGGTCAAACATAAGGGGCTTATAAGCCAAAAAGCAATGCTTGTTTTGGGTGTTTTAGCTTAAAAGCATTTGGCTTAAAAGCGCTTTTATTATCTATCCAAACACTCAAATAAACCCAAAAGTGTTTTTAAGCTGGTTTGACCAGCTTTTAAGCCAATTCAAACACCCTCTGAGTCAGAGATTAGATTTATATAGTGTTTGGTTGGCGGTATAAATTATCTTAGGGCAAATTTATAACTCCAACCAAATACAGAATAAATTTAATCCCACATCTTATCCAAACTTATCCCACGTACCAAACTTTTGATACATCTTACTGGTTATTGACAAGTGAAACTCATCCCTGTCCGACAATAGTGCACTTTTATCACCAATCCATAAGTTGGATGTCCAGACTCACGTTAAGAAGTAAAAACAATGCTATTCCTTATAAAATGAGGCGGGATAAAAACGCATATCCTATTGGAAAAACTTACACACGCTTAAAATTTTTACCAAAACCACATTAAATTTACCATGATTAGGTGACATATTTAGTTGACATTATAGAAGTATGTATAAAAGTATGGAGTCTCTGATGAATTCTCTCCTCTTTTACTTTATTTTCGTCTTCCTGAGCCGAGGGTCTATCGGAAACAACCTCCCTGCCCCCTATCGAGGCAGGGGTAAAGTCTGCGTACATATTACCCTCCCCAGACCCCACTATGTGGAATTTTACTGGGTAGTAGTTGTTGTTGTTGTATAGAAGTATGTATAAAAGACACATTCCATGTATTTCTTGATTAGATGAAACACCCGGTGCGGTCAGTAATTTCCCTATCATGCTGGTTATTTGAAAAACAACCTGCATTTGTACTAGTAGAGCTAAAGTGCACAAGAGGAATGCGATTTCTTGCTTCCCTAAGTAACATCCTCTGTGTTAAGTCTTTGCATTAGAAACCCCAAGCCCCTACAAGCAGGCTTGAGTTGGGTAGCTTCATATTTCTCGACCAATCCTTCCTTATTTACATCTGTTAATTAATAATCGCGGGGCGAGAACAATATTAGCGTACCTGTCAACGCTGCAGAAGAATTGTTGAACTCACCACCAAAAGAATTGCCCCAAGACGAACTTTGAATCTCTTGGAAAACAAAGTTTAGTTTCACAAACTATATGTCTTTGTTCTTGTGTGTTTTTGCGAAAAGAAGAAGAGAAATCTTCACTGTTATGGAAGAAGGAAATAGATGGAAAAAGGAAGAGCAAGAACCCACCCTTTTGTTTTTCTTCTGTTCGTGTATTTCCTTTCAATAGGAAGACCAAGTTATTATGCAGAAAATAAATTAACTGCTATGGGAAACTTGTTCAACTACATCCAACGTGTAGTAACTTCTCCAAAGAAGTTACTTTGTACTCAAACTCTATCTCTTCCCAAATGGGTTGGGTCAGCCCATATAGAGTGACCCGGTATCCGAATTTTAATACCCAACATCTCCCACTTCGCTCATGATGGGCTGGAACTCAAACCAGTATCATGAATAAATAAAACACTTAATTCATACAGACAAGTAGTTCGTGCGACCTGCGAGCATCAAGAGCTATAATATAATCAAACCCTTTAAGGTTGTTTAACAGCTCTATGTAAAAATCCCATCACATGCGGAAGGGATTTACTACTAACATGAGGATCTTATTATTACTCGCAATACCCCAGACATTGTTGGCTATTCTAGTAGCTAGTTATCCGATCCCTTATCCTCGAAAAGATGCGAACTCGAGTTTATGTTTAACTTTGTATCCATAATTACACCCAATACCCTCATGGTAAGTGTAATGGTCGACCTATGAATACGGGTTAAATTACTAAATTTTAGTCGTCTTCCCTTTCTACTCGAATCTTTCCCTTCCAAATCAATTGCTTTCCTAGACATGCACTGCATTGC